GGGGCCCCAGGCCCCCTCGGGCTCCTCCCCCTCGGGGGCCCCCCGCCTCTCCTGGGGGCCCCCAAGACCCTCAGCTTGGCCGCCTGAGTCCGGCTCCGGGGGGGCCCTCAGCTCCGCCTTGGCCCGCAGTAGCCACTCTAAGACGTGGGGCTCGGTCTTGTGTTTTTCTGGCTCATCAACATCTCGAGGCCGCCCCGGGGGGGGCCCCGGGAGGGAACGGGGAGGGTGGGTAAAGGGGTAGGGGAACTGCAGCGGCTGGGACTGCCCCGCCATCAGCCAAGGGGCCCCCGGGGGCAGCTGGGGGGCCCTCAAGGCCAGCAGCAGCAGCAGCAGCAGCAGCAGCAGCTGAGTTAGCGAAATCGATTCAAAAAGGGACAAATGCAGAGTCGCCGCGGCACCGCCGAGAAGACCATCGCTTCGTTCGAGCTGGAGGAGCTGCTGCTGCCGCACGTGCTGCTCCACTTGATGCTGCTGCACTGCAGCGCTCGCTGCTGCTGCTGCTGCCGCTGCTGCTGCTGCTGCTGCTGCTGCTGCCGCAAGAGCCAACCCAGCGACCACACACGGGCAGGCCGAGAAAGGACTAGAGGGCTCTTTTTTCCCTTTGAGAGTTTAAAAGCGCGGCAGCCAGAGAGCGGCAATATACGCCCAGGAAAGCAGCATGGGCCCCTCAGAAGGGGGCCTTCTTGGGAACGAAAAAGAGGAGAAGTGCGCAGCTGTTAAAGGCCCTACAGAGCCTACTGAAGTCCTTCTACTAAACAGACTCTCTACACGTTTTAATTTAAAGGTAAGGGCTGCATGCAAGTGCCCCTTGGCAGCTGCAGTCTCGCCGCTAGGTTGTGTTGGTGTTTCTCTCTGTGCTGGGGGGCGCCTGCGGGCCCTCTTCTACCAGGAAAAAGAGAAGTGGCGCTCTTATATGCACCTAAGGGAATAAAAAATACCAAAAACGGGGGCTGGAGGCCCCAAATAAGCCAACAAGGAGGAGGCGACGCGCCCTAAGAGGCCCCCTCTCTAGCCGCCGCCGCTACAGGGAACACGGCAGGCGAGCCGGGGCTCTCTAGGAAATGGAAGACGCTTGACAAGGTGCACAATGAGGTTAAAATGAAAGAATAAAGCTCAAATTTACTCAAAAAAAGAGGAGGAGAGTCCACAGAGAGCACGAGGCCCTGGTCAGCGCCGTCTCAGCAGCACCGGGCCAGACCCGAGGCGCAGCTGCGGGTGCGCTTGGGGCTTATGGAGTCAGCCTGCTTTATTTATTGCTTTTTTCTGAATAAAAACTACCAAATTCCCTTAAAAACATGCGAAGGGGGAAATTAGCAAAAATATAGGCAAAATGGCTTTCTTCCTGCGCCCCATCGGGCGCAACATTGGCTCGCGACCGCGGGCGCCACACAGCCAGCCGTTTTCATACGCCCCTGCAGTTCCTCTCCTCCCCGAAATACTCAAAAGAATTAACTTCGTATTTAAATTTACGCTTTCTTTTGCTTTTTGAAAAGCCAGGGAATATACACCTCGCTTAATCCCCGTGGCTTGTTGGCGGTCCTCGCCATGTAGCTGGGGCGCCGAGTCACTCCGAGCCTCCTGAGGGCTCGCATGCTCGCCGTGCATTCCCCTCCATTTTCACGCCTCAAACGCTAAAACTAGAAAGCAAAGAACAAATAAGTGGACAAAAACTGCAAAGGACTCTAATATTCCTTTACTCACCCGCCGTGCCGTCAGCTTTGCACCCCGAGCGCTGCCTCCCGCCGCGCGCGGCGCCTGCGGCGAAGCGGACCAATGGCCTATTTCGTAAGGCTATCCATAACGCAGTGAAACTTACCTGAAATTCACAGACCCAAACATGTGGCGAGTCTCAAACCCCGAAACGCCCCATAGAGGGCTCGTTACACGGAGAGAAGAGCCTGTGGGGCCTCAGTAAAGCGAGTGGCTGCTGCCACCGCCCGTGGCGGCTCCATGGGGGCCTGCTTCGCCGCTTCAGGCCCATAGGCTGCGCCAATAAGTGTTTAAAAAACGCGCCTAGCTTGCGAGAGAACTCTCTCCCCGATCCGCAGATGAACTGGCCGCTGGCTGGCCCACACTGCCGGGAAAAAGCCCACAGCGAGGGCACAAGAAACGCCCCTGCTGCTGCCAGCAGCTCTGCTGCAGCACAGGCAGCCACACTTTCGGACAGAAACTGTGAGGCCCCTCAACAGCCTCGGCTCTGTCTTCCGTCGGGCGCGTAGTCTCTGGCTTTCCCTCATCACAACAAGGGCTCCTGCACACGTAGCGGTTTCCTGCTGCAGCAGCAGCACACACGCTCAACAGCCCCAGCCTGGCATGTGCACACTAGTTCCAGTGTACGTACACCGCAGCGCGCTGCAACGCCCGGAGAGCAGCACCGGGGCCGTCGCAGCAGCACGAAGACACAGAGAAAGAGCTTCAGGCCAAGCGCTGAAGCGCCTTTGTTGCCATTTCCTTTAAAGTCAAATGACACAAAAAACACAAAAGATGCAAAACGCGCAAAAAGGGCAGTCAGGGGCCAGACGTACGCTGCAGACCGCAGGCCGCGCAAGAAGGCAATGGGAGGCAGCAAAGCCCCAACAGAGAACATGCTGCTGCTTCGGCTGCTCCAAAGCCGCAGCGGAAGCACCGAAGTACTGCTAAACTGTCCCCTCTCATGGGATGCCTCTTCGTCTCTTGGCACTTCTGCGGCCGCTGCTGCTGCTGCTGTTGCTGCTGCTGCTGTTGCTGCTGCTGCTGCTGCTGCGAACGCACGCTGCTGCTTCGCCCTCCAAGAGAGGAGGCCAGACAGGCGCCATAGACGGGCAATTGAGGGCCAGCCCCTAATTGGAAAGTCTCACTAACAGCCTGTTTGCCCGGGGTGCTGCTTCCAACTATATCAGCTGTTTCTGAGCTGCTTGTTGCTGCTGCTGCCCTGCTGCTGCTGCTGCTGCTGCTGTAGCTGCTGGTACCACGAGGCCCCCCGCAGTACAGGCAGCTTCCTGGGGAGCTCAAGAAAGCTGCAAAAACACCACAAAGTTGCATAAATGTGCCTTGCTGCAGCATAGCAAAAACACCCCCAAAGTGGCTCAAAGTGCTTTGCTGCAGCAGCAGCAGCAGCAAAGGCAGCGCTCGCGTGATCCTAAGGCCTTTCCTGTTGCTGCTGTTTCAGTCCGCGTTGCTGCTGCTGCGCTGCGCACCTGAGACCGCGTCGGCTCGCCTGCTGCTGCAGGCGGCCGGTTGCCCCAGAAGTCTTCCTCTGCAAAGGCAGCAGCAGCAATGTCTGCCTCGAGCATATTCTTAACAACAATTTGTCTCTGTGGCTTTGCTGCATCTGCTTCTGTCGCTGCTGTTGCTGATTTTGCTCGTGCGAATGCCGGTTCTGTTGATGGTCCTGTTGCCGCTGCTACTTCTGCCGCTGCTGGCACTACTGCTGTTGCTGCTGCTGGTACTACTGCTGCTACTGTTGCTGCTCTTGCTACTTCTACTGCTGCTTCTACTGCTGCCACTGCTGCTGCTGCTCACCTGTACACCCACCGCAGCCTTGCAGCTGGTCTGACGCTTCCCAGCACGACGGGCCTCAAACGACACCCGCACTGAAGGCACCTTTGGTGCTTGTTGCTGTTGTTGTTGTTGCTGCTGCTGCTGCTGTTGCTGCTGTTGTTGCTGCAGAGAACTGCGCTAAGTCGGACACAAAGGCAGCGCGGGCATCGGATGCGGTTGAGAATACTGTCTGCAAGCAAAGAAACAATCAGGTGCTAAACCCTAAACCCTAAACCCTAAACCCCAAATCCTTAGGCAGCATCCCGCGCCAAGCCCTAACCCCATTCCAGCAAGATATTTCAAATGGCCTAAAATGGATGCTCTGGCACCATCAATTCCAACAGCAAAAAAGAAATATATTTAATTTTTTTGGCCTTATGGGCTCTAGAGGTGACTCTAAGGCAGCACAGATTCTAGAAGTGCTGTTGCGACAGAAGCCAAGAACGCATTTAGCCTTGGCATGCAGCAGCAAGCAGTAAGCAGCAGCAACAGCAAGCAGCAGCAGCATGAAGGAACAACAGCCAGAAGGAGCACGAAGGAACAGCAAGCAGCAGCAGCAGACAGCAAACAGCAAGCAGCAGCAGCAAGCTCAAGCAGCAAGCAGTACAAAGCAGCACAGCAGCGACAGCCAAACATGAATACTAATGATATGCTGCGCACCTGCAAAAAATTGAAAAGATTAAAACTAATTAATCTACTTCCCATTATCTCAACCATTGCGTGGTCCAACTAAGTCATCAAATCTTGATAAAAATCGCTTTCAAAAAGTATTTGAAAGTAAACAACTCAAAAAAAAGCCAATTTGTTTCTACTGGATAAACCCCTAGCTCGAGACCCCAAGCACAAACAGCTGCCCACCAAGAAAACCCTCTTCTTCTAACTCCAGCACTTCTGCAGCAGTCCCAAGAGGGGCCCCATCAATAAGCAGCTGGGGGGGCACTGGCCCGGCAGCCGCGCTTGCTGCAGCTGCTGCCGAAGCTGCAGCAGCAGAAGCACGCAGCAGCAGGCGGCACCGCAGTGTGCAGTACAGCAGCGCAAGTTCAGCAACAGCAAATGCCTGAAGCACCAAACCCTCAGCAGCAAACCCCTGTCCCCCAGCCCCAGGCCTTACTAACCCCTTGTTCTGGCCTTGCTGGGGCCACGCCTGGGCCCCCCCAGCTTCCCCCAGGGGCCCCCAGACCCAGCAACCTCGCTGGGGGGCCCCCCTGCGGCTTCGGGAGTCAGCAGCCGCTGCTGCTGGCGGAGACGGCCAAGGAGAACCCCGTCATGGGTGCCCAAAGCTGCAGCAAAGCAGTAGCAGACGCAGCAGCAGCAGCTCGAGCTCAGCAAATGGTGCCCTCTTTGGCCCAGCCCACTCCTTAACTATGAGGCACTCAAGGGCGCAGCAGTAAAGCAAGGAGGCCCCGGGGCCCCCTAAAAGCTCAAGTGACCCGGGGGGGCCCTCCTAAGAGCAGCTGCTATGCGGGGCAGCTCGCTGTGCTTTACCCTGTGCAGCAGCCGCGTTGGTGTCTATAAACAAATAGGGAACTCCTTTGCAGTCCAAAAGTGCTGCTAGCTGCTGCGACTCTCTGTGGGCCCTTCGGCTCACAGCGAGGGTATCTCCTATGAGCAGCACCTGCAAGCAGGGCAAAAGCAAGGGCCCCCAAAGAAATGCCAGCAGCAGCAGAAACAGCAAAGCAAACTGCTGCAGTTGCAGCAGCAGCAGCAGCAGTAGCAGCAGCACCACCCCAGACACGGCAGCACCCTGCGTGCACACCAGCAGCGCACCGACCGCCCACCTCCGGCAAAGGGCTCTCGAAGAAAGCAGTTGTAGTGGCGTCGTTGCAGCCTTTGCTGCAGCTGCTGCTGTTCCTGCTGATGCTGCTCCTGCCTTTGCTGCTGCAGCTGCTGCTTCGTTGAAGGGAAGCCGCGTGGAGGCTCGAAGTCGTGCTTGTGGCTACCACGTGGGAGGGAGCCGCTGCTTTTGCTGCTGCTGCAGGCAGCTCCTCTTTGTTGCTGCTGCCCCGCCGAAAGATAGCAGGAAAAGAGAATAGGCTCTTTATGCTGCTGCGTCTGCTAGGTCCTGCAAGTGGAATCTTGACTTGTGGTTGCTTCTGCTGCAGCTGCCTCTGTTGTTCTTGTTGTTGTTGTTGCTGCTGCTGCTGCTGGCGCAAGTGCACGAGCTCCCGCACGATTGCCTCCTGCAGCTGCAGCAAGTGCAGCAAAGAGCCATCTGCTTCCGCCTGCGGCAACTGCAGCCCCTGGGTCTGTGGTCCTGCGCGGTGCAGCTCGAAGATGGCTTTTAGCAGGGTGAGAGCTGCGTCCCCCCAGGTTCGCTCTGCTGTGGCTTCTGTCTGCTGCTGCTGCTGTTTTGGGTGCTGCTGCTGCTGCTGCTCTTGCTGCTCTGGCTGCTGCTGCTGCTGCGCCTCCTCGTGCAGCCCGCTAGAGACTTCCTGCTGGTGCTGCAGCTCTGCATCTGGCATCTGGTGCTGCAGTCCAGTGCTGCAGCTGTCTGCTGACAGCCCAAGTTCGTCTGCAGGCGGTCGACTCTGCTGCTGCTGCAGCGGCGGCAGCTTATGGGAAGCTGCTGCTGCTGCTGCGCCTCTTCCGTACGACTCCTTCTTGCCCATATTAGTCAGTCTTCGTGCCCAGTTAATGGGCAACAGCAGCGCATCCTTGAATGAAGCCGATTTGTTTAAAATGCCCTCACGATCGCGTCCCTCATTCCCACAGCCGCAGTGGCTGCTGCTGCTGCTGCTGCTGCAGTTGCTTCTGTGGCAGCAGCAGCTGCTGCTGCTGCTGTTGCTGCAGCCGTTGTTGCTGCTGAAGCTGTAGCTCTTGCTGCTCCATGCCCTCTCGACCTGAAGTTCATCCAGCCTGGCGCAAGCTTTGCCTGCATCCAGCAAACTGCGCACATACGGTGGCAGCACACTATCCGCGTTGCTGCTGCTGCCTCTGCAGAAGTTACTGTCCCTGCTGCTGCGCTGGTTGCTGCTGCGGCGCCGGCGGCCCCAAAAAGAGCTGCTGCTTCCCACAGGCAAACTGCGGAGGCTGCTCAGGGGGCGCCGGTGCTTGCGAGGAAAGTCATACGATAAGGACCTTGAGCTTCGCCAATTGTGGCCCCTGCTTTTGCCTACTGAGCTGCTGCAGCAACGGCTGCAGCTGCTGCAGCAGCCGCCCCTCTCAGGCTTCTCGCCAAGGCACTGCGTGTTGCAGTCAGGCTTCTCGTTGCTGCTGCTCGTGCTACTGCTGCCAGGCGGTGTGCCATCCGTTCCTGGTTCTATCAGGAAACAGTCTTGCGGCTGCTGCCACTCTTGCTGCTGCGGAGGCTGCTCTTGCAGTTGCTTTTGCTGCTGTTTCTGCCGCTCACGCTGCTGCTGCTGCTGCTGCACCTGCTGCTGCCTGACGAAGATTTCGTGAGCCAGTTGCGCACCCCTCCAGGCGAGAAGCGCGGCGTCAGCTGAAGTGCCGTGTCTGTCTAAGGCGAGGTATCTTTCCTCCAGCAGCATTTGCCGCAGCCTTTGCTGCTGCTGCTGCATTTGCTCCTGCAGCAGCTGCCGCCGTGACCCTCTTTGAAGGTGCAGTCGCAGCTGCAGCAAAGAAGCACCACGGCAGAGCAGCCAGAGAAAACAATTAGCTGCAGCAAACAGCTGCAAGCCGGTAAAAGAAAGCAGCGTTAAGATGCTTCCCACCCTGCGCAGCAGCAGCAACAGCAGCAGCGAGAGCCGCAGCCGGCCCAGCGCCGGCAGCTCTCACAGCAGCAACGGCAAGCCCACAGCAGCAGGTGAAGACAGCCCCACACAGGCAGACACACAAAAGCAAGTGGGCAGCAGACGCAGCCTGCATGTCTGGCAACTTGCCTTACGCAGCACCTCAGAGAACACAGGGTTGGCTTTAGGAGCAGCAGCAGCAGCACTCGGGCTGCTGCCCCTGTCTTCACTCGTGTGCAGGATATTAGCTGCGGCTGGGCGCGGGCCGCTGCACCCATGCAGCTGCCCGCTGTTGGAGTGCGTGCTCGCTGGTTTTGCTGCTGCTGCTGCTGCTGCTGCTGCTGCGGTTTCTGCTGCTGCAACTAGCGCAGGAGCTGTTTCAGCATCGCTCGCTCGAGGCTTCCGTAGGCTCCACTGCCGCAGCAGCAAACGGTGGAGCTGCTTTTTTTGCTGCTTGTTCTGAGCCCTGGACTGCTGCTGCTGCGGCTGCTGCAGCTCTTCGCTGCCATCTGAGCTGCTGCAGGAGTCGAAAAAGAGCTCGAAGGGCTCAACAGCTGCGTTCTGCTGCTGCCATGAGGTTGCTGAAGATGATAAGATTCTGACCTCCCCCGATTCTGGTGTGCTCACTACCCTGTGGTGTGCATACAGGGTAAACCAGCTCCTGCTGCTGCTGCTGCTGCTGCTGGCCCACAGCGTCATTTGGCGCCTCGCCCTGTGAAAGCTCGAGAGTGTCTGCCGTCTCAACTGCTTCTCTTTCTTTCTGCGTCTCTTCACGCACTTCTTCTTGATGAGCTGCAGCAAAGTGGCCACCTGTCTTCCGTTGCGGCTGCTGCCGCTGCCGCTGCTCTGCCGCTGCTGCCACTGTCTAATCTCAAGACTCAACTCCCAGTGCAGCCGCCGCAGCCAAAGCTCTCCCTCTATGGGTAAGTGAGGCCCCTCTAAAATGCCCGTCAGCAAACACTCAGGCGGCCCCTTTCCACTTTTCTCTGCTCCCGCGTTGCCGCTGCTGCTGCTGCTGCTGCTGCTGGTGCCCCACCACCGCAGCGCTGCTGGTGCCAGCTTCTGTGTCAGCTTCCTGCTGCAGCGTTGCTGCTGTCGTCTTAGCAGCTCCAGCTTCGTCCTTTGGTGTTGAAGCTGCCTCAACAGCAGTAATTGTCTCCTTGCGCGGGTGGACTCAGCCGTCTTTTCCTCTAATACCTGTTGCAGAAGCAGCGTATTGACCACGTCTGTTTGCTGCTGCGGATGCTGCCGCTGCTGCTGTTGGGATCGCTGCGTTACCTGTCGCTGTGCTGCTGTTGCCACAGCATGGTTTGCTTCCCACAGCCGCCGTAGCAGCAGCAGCTCCTCTTGGAATGACAACGGTCGCTGCAGCGCTGGAAGCTGCTGCTGCTGCTGCCGGGCCGCAGCCAGCGAACGCGCACGCAGGCATTGCAGGCCCCCAGCAGCTTCTTTTTTGAGAGGCAGCAAAGATGCCACGCTCCAGCTACGCCGCTGGCGAAGCATTTGCTGCTGCTGCCATTGCTGCTGCTGGCTTTGCTGCTGGGCTGTCTGCAGCCGCAGCAGCAAGCGACCCTGCAGGCAGACTTGAGAGGACTCACGAAGAGGCCGTCCAAGCGCACTCAGGCTGCGTTGTCTTTGCTGCAGCTGCTGCTCACTATTTTGTAGCCTTAATGAGCTGCGGGACGCAAGTTGGGGCCTTTGGGATTCTCTGCTGCACAGTCTTACTGCAGCAGCAGCAGGAGTAACAGTGGCAGCAACTCTCGCCACCCCAGTGGACGCTGCTGCTTGGCCTCGCACCTCTGCCGCATATCTGCCGCTGCGGCTGGCATCCTTGCATTTTCTGCTGCTGCTGCTGCTGCTGCTGCGGCAGGCGCGTGCAGCTCTTGTAAACTCCCAAGATGGAGGAGCTGGGGACCCCTTCTTCAATACTTTATTTCCCGGGTCTTCTGGTGTATTTAAGAGGCAAAAAGCCCCTTTATGCTGGCAATTATCTTCTCTGGTGGGGCCCTCTGCTGCTGGCCTTATGGGGGAGCGGCCCGGAGGTGACCCTGACGATACAGAGCGGCGTAGGCTGCGCTGCGGCTCTCGCTGCAGCGGTTGCTGCTGCTGCTGCTTGGCCTGCGGAAGCTGAAGCAGGCAGCCTTGCGGCAGCTGTGGCTGGTTCCGGGGAGTCAGCACGGCTGCTGGATGGGCTTGGCCTTCGGCTTGCTGCTGCTGCTGCTGCTGCTTGAGAGGCGGTGCTGCGTGCGTGGGTGCTGTTGATTTCAACCTCTCTTGCTCGCGCACTTGCTGCTGATATTCTTTCCGTCTTAATGCAGCAGAAAATGGCAGCTGTTTGTGCCGCTGCTCCATGAGGAACGAGCTGCTGCTGCGCCTCTGTCTCGATGAGGTGAGTCAAGCGGTGGCTTGCGCGGCCAGTGAGCTGCTGCTGCTGCTGCTGCTCACTGCAGCAAAAACGCAGCACTCTAAAAGAGACTGAATGTAAGTGCTGTCTGCGGGCTGGAGGCACCAGTACAAGCGGCAGCTGCTGCAGCCGTGCTGCCTCGCAGCTAGGTTGCGTGTCTCTCTCGGGGTTCCAGCTGCTGCTGCAGCGGTTTTCACATGCAAGGCACTGCTTCTTTGAGTCATTAAAAACCTAATTTGCTGCACAGAGAACTTGGGGCCCCACAAAAAGGGGAGAACACGGGATAAAAGGGGAATCCCGGCAGTCCCTCTGTGCGCCTGACCCCCCTGAGTGAGCAGCAGCTGCAGCTACGGGAGCAGCAGCAAGTGTAGCAGGTGTCACAGACCATAAACAGCCCATTTGAGCTAACCTTCATTAGCTCAAGGGAAGAGAAGAATTTCGGTTAGGGAGGAAACGCTAAGGCTTTGCCTTAGCCCCCAACGGTCACTGATCGTTCCCATGCAGCCTCGACTCCGAGCTGCTGCTGGTGCAGCTGCTGCTCCTCTTCCTGCAGCTGGGAAACTGTATATTGGGCGCCAAATAAGTAGTTGAAGAAGGAAATTTAAACATCTAATGCTTACGTCAGGCCATCTACGTCTCCTTTTACGTTTCGTCGCCTACCCCCAAAAGCCGCAGCAGCAGCTGCTGCTGCTGTGCTGCTGCTGCTGCTGCCGCTGCTGCTGCTGCTGCTGCTGCTGCTCTGGCGTCAGCAGCAGCTGCCTCCGCCCGAGCGGCTCTGCAATTCAGCGCAGGCTTCTCACCTGTCCTAACACCTTCTATTCTGTCTTGCGTCTGTACCTTCTTCGTAGTTACAGCACCAGCAGCAGCGCGAACGGCAGCAGGACCCGTCTGCCGTGTCGGATCATTCTCTCTATCTTTCTATAGTCTGCACAAAGGCTGCTGCAGTTGCTGCAACTGAAGCAGCTGCAGCAGCGATTTCTGCTGTGCTGTGGCCGCAGCAACAGGAAATATCGCGGGAGTCCCGTTGCTGCTGCTGCTGCAGCAGCAGCAGCTTCCTGCCTGCCACTGGGGGGCCGGGCCGTCCCAGTCGCTGCCCTACAAACCGGCCGCCAACCTCGTCCGTGCAGCAGCAGCATTTGCTGAAGCAGCACAGAACTTAAACCAAGCTCACACCCCTACGGCAGCAGCAGCTGCTGGCCCCGGCCCACATCCTGCCTCGGCTGCTGCAGCTTGCCTGCAGCAGCAGAGACGCGGGCTGCGCCTCTTTGAGTAGGCCAACTTCACACAGCGTTTTTAGAGCGTTAGCTCCTCCGCAGCCGCAGCAGCAGCCCCAGCAGAAATGGCAGTGCAGCAGCGCGGGCACTTGAAGGAGCAGCAGCGAGAACTGCAGCGGTGGCTTGACGGCTGCGACAAGGAGCTGCAGCAGCTACTGCAGGCCCGTGCGCAGCAGCAGGATCACGCCCAGCAGCAGAGTATGCAGCAGCAGCAACAGCGCGCGACTGCAGCGGCAGCAGAGGCAATGCGCAGTTCCATTAGAGGTCAGACAGCCGGCTGCCTCCCCAGTGTCATCTGCTGCTCCCGCTGCTGCTGATGCCGCTTACAGTGCTGCAGCAGCAGCAGCAGCAGTAGCGACAGCAGCCCGGCAGTTCGTGGCCACCGTGTCCACAGCGCACTTCCACTGACGCCTACTTGCTGTGCTCTCTGTGTTTTGCTGCTGTTGCAGAGTACCGGGCTGCTGCTGATGGGGCTTCAGCAGCAGCAGCAGCAGCAGCAGCAGCAACGGCGAACCCGCGGGGGGCCCTGCCGCGTGCAGGCGAGGGAGCCCTTGAAGACACACTGCACAAGTTGCAGGGACTAAAGCAGCAGCTGGCCTGTAGGCTCTCAACCCCGTGCTGCTGCTTGCTGCTGCTGCTTACTGCTGTTGCTTGCCTCTGCTCAAGTTCTGCTGCAGCGTGCTTGCTGCTGTTTCTACTACTGCTGCTGCTGCTGCTGCATGTGTTTCATTGGTGTCACTGTTCTTTTGCTGCTGTGGTGGCTACTGCCACCACCACTTCGCTTAATGTTTTTGCTGCTGCTGGGTGCTGCTGCGGCTGCTGCAGCGTGGGCTGTTCGGGACGGCGGCCGTGCTGCAGCGGATACGGGAGCAGCAGCAGCTGCAGCTGGGCCATACCCTGTTAGACAGGTATATCCCTTCTCTTCAGCAGCAGCAGCAGCCAGAAGCCCAGAAGCAGCAGCAACCACAGCAGCTTGCTGCACGCTGCATATGTGTGTCAGCTGCTCCTGCTGGTGCTGCTGTGGTTCCTTCAGGCTTCATGCAAGTTAGAGGAAGTCCAGGAGCAAGCTGTAGCTGCAGCTGCAGTTAAGCAGCAGCAGAGCAGCAGCAGCAGCAGCATAGGGGCCGCTTTTCCTTCTACAGGGGCTGCGCCCAGAGCAGCAGCAGCAGCACCGGTTGCTTCTGCTGCTGTGCATCCGTGGCTGGGCGGCAGCTTAATGGCGTCTCGAGACTCGGCGGACCCAAAGCTGCATGCAGTGCTGCTGCAGCACCAGCAGCAGCAAGGCGCAGCGAGCTGCGGCAGCGGCAGCTGCCGCCTCAGTGACAGCAGCACTTGCGCAGATGACCCCTGCAGCAACAATGGCAGGCGGCGCAGCATAGATAGTTTTTCCAGCGAGAGCAGCAGCAGCACTCCCGAAAGCGCGAGCATGTGCGGCGTGAGTTGCAGCTCCATGCCGCAGCAGCAGCAGCTGCTGCTCCAGCAGCAGCAGCAGCAGCTCCAGCTGCAGCAGCAGCAACTGGCCCGACCCTTCAATATGCTTACAGCAGCAGACCTGAGTAAAGGAGCGCCACCTGCTGCTGGCTTTTCTTGTCTCCCGAATGGCAGGAGCTCGGATGCCCGTATTCGTTTTCAGGCAGGGCGGCAGCAGCAGCAGCAGCAGCCAGGAAAGTTGCAGCAGCAGCAACCGCAGCAGCAAGAGTCGCAGGACGGCGAGCAGCGGCAGCTGCAGCAGAGTCGGGGGTCAGGAAGCAGTGGCAGCAGCACAGGGGGGCTCTACGATCGCTTTGCTGCAGCAAACTTGCACAAGACGGCAGCCACAGCTGCCCCGAAATTAGCTGCATGCAGCGCCGATGTTCAGCAGCAGCAGCAGCAGCAGCAGCAGCAACAGCAGCAGGAAGCCCCGCACCAGCCGTTGGTCTCTCGTTGCAGTACTGCCACATCTTCGCCCTGCAACGCGTCTAGGAGGGCAGCGGCAGCAGCAGCTGCTGCTGCTGCTGCAACTATAGACAGCGGCCCCGAAGCAGAGGGGCGGCATCTCGGGCACGTGCCGCTGGGCCTGAGCAGCGGCAGCAGCAGCGGCAGCAGCAGCACGGGGAGTGATGCCACAGTTCATCACGAGAGGGGGTTTGAGAGGGATAGACAGGCCTATGGCGGCCGGTTTGTTGCAGCTACGTTCATGCAGCAGCAGCAACTGCAACAGCCGCAGCAGTCGCCGGCTTATTGTGGAGCAGAGGGGGCAGCGTCACCCAACTCTGCAGCAGCAGCAGCAGCAGCAGCGGCAGCATTGGCAGCAACGCCCAGAGCAGCAGCAACACTGGATGCAAGCGGCAGGACCCGCCGCATGTTCTCGTCGGGCAGCAGCCACGATGGCAGCAAAAACAGCAGCAACAGCAGCAACAGCAGCAACTGGGTCCCGCCTGGCTGCCCTCCTATTGGCCCATCAACAGGCAGCGGCGACAGCAGCAGGAGCAGCAGTAGCAGCTTTCAAGGCTCAAGCAGGACTCACAGCTTGAGCCAGACGGCGGGCAATAGCAGCAGCAGCAGCAGCAACGCGTCTGCGCCCTTATTCCGCTTCAGCGGAGAGGCTTTTTCCGCTGGACCAAGAGCAGCGGCAGCAGCAGAGGAAGCAAGAAGTGACTACTTTGTTTCTCCTGTTGCAGGTGCAGCAACGGGGAGTGTAGCAGCAGCAACAGCAGCAGCAGCAGCAGCACCAGGGCTCCGGGCTTCCTCCCGCATGCCAGGGTCCTTCAACCCGAGAGAAACGCCTGCGTCCAACTGGCCGCCTTTCCCTGCTGCTCAGCCCCAGCAGCACTTGCAGCAGCAGCAGTTGCAACACCCTTATTTCCACCACGCGCAGCATCAGCAGCAGCAGCAGCAGCAGCACCAGCAGCAGCCGAGCTGTGAAGCGCTAGCTCCTTCGGGGCCAGCCGGGCCCACGAGCTCAGTCCCAGAGTACCTTCGTGGCCAGCAGCTGCGTGAGGCTTTCCTGCCCGGAGCAGCAGCAGCAGCAGCAGCAACACAGACGGCGGCAGCAGCTGGCGCAACGCCGCCCTCAGGAACAAGGACCTCACCTGCAGCGGGAGCAGCAGCCGCAGCAGCACGAGCTGCAGCAAGAGGACCTGCTGCATGCAGCCCCAAGGGAAATGAAGACAGCGGAGATAGCCTCACAGGCGGAGGCGCCTTGGGCCTGCCGGACATTGCTTCGTGTATATTGGGGGGAAGCCATCAACAGCTGGCAGCCTTGTCGCTGCAGCAGCAGCAGCAGCAGCGCCAGGAGCAGCAGCAGAACTACTTGCACTTCGTGCAGCAGCAGCAGCATGAAGGAGAGCGGCCTTGGGTCATGCAGCAAAGGACCAGCAGCAGCGGCACTGCCGATAACAGCCGCAGCAGCAGCAGCAGCGCGAATCTCTCTCAGACGCTGCGCAGCTCGTGCGCCCCATGGTATCCTCCGGCTCGGCCAATGGCGCCGGTAGGAAGTGAGGCAGCAGCAGCAGCAGCTGCTGCTGCTTCTGGCATGATGGGCGGCCTTGTCGGTGCTTCAGCTTTATCTGCTGCAGCAGAATCATCAGGGCTGCAGCAACAGCACCATAGAGAGTACTTTCCGGGTGCCTCTCAATATGAAGCGGGACTGCAGCAGCCCGAGGCAGCAGCAGCAGCAGCAGCATGTGTTGCGCGCACCATTGGCCTGCTCTGCGGGGATGGGTGCTACTGCTGGCAATACAATTCTCAGTTACAGGAGTCCCAGCAACAGCTGCAGCAGCTGCATCAGCAGCAACAGCAGAAGCAGCCGGCGTGCGCTGTCCTGCAGGTGACACCTTCTGAAGTTCAGGTCTGCCAGCTGCAGTGGTGCTGGGGTGGCGAGCTGCTGCTGGACGATCAGCAACAGCAGCAGCTGCAGCAGAAGCAGCAGGACCAGGAGTACGCACACGCAGACGTGCGGCAGCGGCAGTCACCGGGAAGCTCGTATAGCTTCACTGCTGCAGCGGGCCAGGCGCCGCCGCAGCAGCAGCAGCAGCTGCTACAGGACATGGTGTGCTACGGGGGAACCTCAATATGCCCCCCCCCGTGCCGCATGGATGAGGCGCGGGGCAGCTTTAGCAGCAGCAGCAGCAGCAGCGGCGAACCAGCAGCAGCAGCAGCTGCCGCGTCCTCGGTGCTGTTACGGTGCCACAGAGGAGAGAGAGTAGAGGTGTATGTACACCACAAGAGCGGATGGCTGTACGGCGGCATCCAAGGAGAACCCCACAGGTGCTACTCACGCTGCTGCTGCTCATGCTGCTGCAGCTGCACCTCCAGCAGCTGTTCCGCTGCTGTGACTGTTGCTGCACTCAGTGCTTTTCTTCAGCGGGGCAGAAATCTCGGGCGTGTTGCAATGAGAGCCCTGCGCTGCATGCAGTGGCTTCCTGCTGTGTTCGTGCAGTGTCTTGGCTGTTCCCATCTGCTGCTGCATTTGCTTCCTTTTGTTTTCAGGAAGGGCTGGTTCCCGTTTTACCTGCTGCACGACCCCTTGCGCTGGGCATGTTCGCCGGCGGGGTCCATGAGCAGCAACAGCAGCAATGACAGCAACCGCGCCAGCAGCAGCGCTAGCAGTACCAGCAGCAGCAGCAGCAGCATTAGAGCTGCAGCTGCAGCGGCGTCGGGTATCCAAACCCCAGCACTTTCGCCGCAGCCCCTGCCTAAGCGGCGTTTGCTGATGAACTTAATGAGGTTTGCGCAGGCGCCTTCCCAGCAGACAGACACGGCGCAGAAGCATCAATGATAGCAGCAGCAGCTGCTGATGCTGCAACGGAAGTTGCGGCAAGCTGCAGCACGCTGCAGCCCCATGTAGCCTGCTGCAGCGCCCCCAGCTGGTTGGCTGGCTGGGTCGCGCCGAGACTACCAGAAACTCGCAATGATCAAAGGCGGGCAACAGGAGCGGATTTGCTCTGGGGGTGTGTGCGGCTAGCGCAGTTCAGCATGCACAAGCACGTATCCAGATATTTCAATACCATTTGAACGTAGGCTTCTTACATAGTTACATCCACAAGCACTTATTCAGGTAAGTAATTCTGTTTAAACTGAGTCAATCTCCATAGCAGTACTACTCTTTCAGTGCTCGTGCGCCTACGCACAATTTGCGAGCTCGTATGGGCGCGGTGGGGCCCCATGGGGCCCCCGGGGAAGCAGCGCTGAGGGTCAGTTCATGCATGCGCTGAAATGATGAAGCTGCGCAGCAGCGCCGGCCCGCCGGGCAGCAGCTGAGTGAGCTCGCGGCATTGTAGAGGCCGCCGTGATAACGCAAAAGAGCTCTGCACTGGAGAAGCCCACGAGCGCCGTCGCTGCGGCTCGATGGGGCTGCTTCTGGAGTGGCGTCTGCTTTGCCAGCCATTTCGGGAGCAGGTCTGTTTCCCCAGTAGAGGGGATGCGGGGTTGCCTGCAGCCAAGACCAAGCTAAAATGGCTGCCTGCTGCTCGGGGCTTTCTATTGTCGCCTGAGCTCCTCTTACTGCATGGATGGTGTCTACACAGCCACGGGCAGCAGTGTAACACTGGACGCCTCGTGTCTCGCACTACATGCGCCCCGAGCTAAACAGTCGAAATTTCAGTGAGTGTCTCGATTCCCCTGCCTCTCTTGGCAGATATCCCAAAAGCGGCCGGAGGCGCCGGGGCGCAGCTACAGCCTCGGGCCCAGCCTTCAACCTTCCTCGGTTGGGCCGCGTCGCCAGCGGCTGCTGCTGCAGCAGCTGCCTATAGGCCCTTATGAATTGCATGCAGACGGCCCCCTGGCTGCACAGCAGAGGGGCTCATCACGCTGAGCCCTGTACAGACACCCCGGCCCATCGGCCCATCGAGCTGTCTGTACAGCGTGCCTGTGTGCGCCGATGCGCCTCTCCAGCTTGTGCAGCAGCAGCAGCAGCAGAAGGCACAAGCGGTGCAGGCCGGAAGCAGCCTGCACATTTACTGCTAGAGCATCGCATCCGCTGCAGCAGAAGCAGTGTCAGCAAGCTCAAGTCTTCGAGTTCAGGACAGCCAATTGGAGAGGGGTGTAGGGCCCCAGTCTCTGGGCAATCCTCTCGTGGGCAGCCAATCGCCGGCGGCTGAAGTCCAGTAGAGCCGTAAAGAAGGCGATGCTGCTGCTGTCGCTTTCCACTGCTGCTGTTGCTGCTGTTGATGCAGCCCCCAGGCTAGACCGCCGCCGCTCCTGCTGCTGCTGCTGCTGTTGCTGCTGTTGCTGCGAAGCGTGCGGGGTGCAGTCTCCGGCGACTCCTCCGATGACGCTGCCTCCTCTGCTGGGCGACTGCTGCAGCACCACGGACAACGGGCCGCTGCTGCTAAGCGTGTTCTTGCGTTGCTGCTGTTGCAGTTGCTGCCGGTTCTGCTGCTGTCGCTGTTGCCGAGCAAGGCGAGTCAGCAGCGATACAAACTGCCGCGACGTCTCTTCGTGGTGTAGCAACACGTTCCCTGCAACAAGGCTGTAACAGCAGCCCCACATGCACAGCAGCAGCTCAATATGTTTCTCCTGCCTCATCTTTTTAAAGGCGAAGAAACGGCAGGAAGTCACCCCTGTTGCTGCTTCTGGCTGACCTGTTTAGCACGGACGCTCCCAGAGCTGCTGCGCGCTGCAGTGTCGTATCTATCATTTGCTGCAGCCCATCGAAAGTGACGAGAGGAGGCAGCAGGCCATCCAGCTCTCTGTCGCAGCTCCAGCAGTTGCCATCTTCTTCTGCAGCAGCGGCGAAGCTGGGGCCACTTGTCCCCCCGACGAAGGACGGCGCCGTTACTCCTGCTGCAGCAGCAGCTGCAGCACCATCTGCAGCCTTCGCTTGGCTGCTGCTGCAACAGCAGCAGCAGCACGGGGCCTGCCTCACCCGCAGCCTACCGTACAATGCAGCTGCTGCTTGAGATCCTCGCCGCAGCGAGGGGCTCATTCCCTGCAGCCGACGCAAAAACATGGCAAGCAGGAGTATCCACAGCTGCGCCCGTAGCAGCAAACGAAGCACTGCAGCAACAGCAGCGGGCGAAGCACCAACATGGTTAATCGCGGTAGCAGCTGTAGGCGCTGACTGTCTCACGCCAGCCGTTTTTACGTTACGTTTGGAGGTGTGTAGCCTCAAACACGCACGTGATGGAACATTTGCGCTGCCGCAGCAGCAGCAGCAGCGGCAGCAGCAGCAGCGACGGCAGCAGCAGCACGACTGGCACGAAGAACTGACCCGTTGCCGCAGAAACACGTTGGTTGCTGCGCCTTGGGAGAAGGAAAGGCCGGCCACGGAGACGGCGGAAGAGGCCGCACAGCTGCAGAGACGCCGAATCGAAAAAGCAATCTAACAGCCTTCTATCAGCAGCAGCAGAAGCAGCAGCAACAGCAGCCCTACAAAAGCTAATGCAACAGTGAATGTGCTGCCCCTTACGCGACGCTGCTTCTCCTGGGGGTGAGTTCCGGCTGCGGCGGCGCTTCCTCCTGCAGCTGAATTGGCCGCCCCTCAGGCTGCAGCATTAAAGACAGGGGCAGCAGCCGCTGCCCTGTTGCAGTTAGCACCTGCAGCAGCAGACAAAAGCACTCTCAGGCTCAGGCCATGTATCACTGCAGTAGTTGCGGTTGGTGTTGCTTCTGCTGCCTGCTGCTGCTGCATCCGGTCTGCTTGCCGCTGCTGCTGCGGCTGCAGCTGGGACTTACGCAGCAAACCCTTCTCTCCAACTGTGGCCCTAAGTCGCGGGCTCGCTGCAGCACTGACGCCGCGCTGGTGACCGTCTGCAGCAGGCAACCAAACTACAAAAGCAGAACAACAGCAGCAGCAAAATCAGTAGATTAAGAAACAGCATGCCTTGAGTAGCAGCAGCAAAACATCCTCCGTGTCCATATAATCCTCGCAAATATGCCTCTGCCTGCCCCGATGTTTCTTTATCTGCTTCTCCTCCGCAGCAGCAAGCAGAACTCCACCCACCCATTCTGACGAAAGCTCAGTAGTGGAGCTATCGTCCTGCACTTCCGCTAAGGGCCCTCCAGTTGCTGCTGCTGCTGCTGCTGCGGCCCGTCCATCGCCCGGTGACCCCGCAGCGCGCAGCAGGGACCCCCTCAGCAGTCCCAGCCGAATCGGCACAGGGGGTGTGTTGTAGTAGATGCCTTCTTCCGTGCTGTCTCCTGCTGCTGCGCTGCTGTCACCCCCACCGCCTGGGTTCAGCACCAGTGAAGGGCTTTGCTCCTGCTGCTGCTGTTGCTGCTGCAGTCGACGTGCAGCAGCAATGCTGCCCGCTGTATCTGATCCTAGTAGCTGCAAGTACAGCTCAGGAGTAACGGAAAGAGCAACAGAAGCAGTCGTGCTGCTGCTGCACTGCAGGGGTAACCGCAGAGAAGGCGGAGGCGGCAGCTGGTGAGAGACAGGCAGTACAAGCTGCAGTGACTGTACAGCTGAAACGAAGCCGCTGATGATTTGCAACAGCAGCATCAGCCCACGCTGAAACGCAGAAGCCACAAACCACACTCAAAAATCTCAACCATAGTATGCTGCTGCTGCTGAACTGTGACGCGCTTCCATATGTTTTGGCCTACCTGCTGCAGAACTGAAGGCAGCCCAGAGCGGCCACTGGCTGCTGCAGCGCCGCTGACTCTGCTGCAGCAGCTGCAGCATGCTCTGCACTCGAGGCTGTCTGCGCTTTGGCGTGCTGCGCAACGGGAGCAATTCTGTTTTTGCTGTTGTAGCAGCAGCTCCAGAGCTCCCTGCTGCTGCTGGGAGCTGCAGCACTCCAGCAAGCTCGAAGGCCGCAAGGGCTGCACACCGGCAAGCAGTGCTCCCTCTAGAGCTCTCATGCTGCGCTGCAGCAGCTGCCGTCCTGCCATCAGCCACGCCCCCACCACGTGCTGTAGCAGAACACGCAGACGCAGCAGCAAGAAACAAGGGAAGCTGTGGGATCACCAAACGTCTCCCCAGGCCGCAGCCGCCGGTACCTGAAGCCCAAATATTAGCACAAGCAGCAGCAGCAGCAGCAGCAGCAGCCCAAGCCGTACTCGCAAGTCCACAGGGGTCAACTGCCACGCCGGAAGCCGACGCATGATGCCCACGTACAGCAGCGCTTCCTCAGCAAGGGCCAGGGGGGCCCCCTGAAGGGAGCTGCTGCACACGTAGCGCAGGCGAGGCAGCAGCAGGCGCAGCAGCCCGAAGGCTGACCGCACGGTTTCTTCCGAGACGCTGCGTTGCTGCTGGCTCTGTTGCTGCGCGTGCTGCTGCTGCTGCAGCGACTGCTGCTGCGGCTGCTCAGGGGGTTCCTGCAGATGTTCCAGCACCTGCTGCAGCAGCTGAAGCACCTGGCAATAGGCTAGATGCGCCGGCGAGCGCCGCATAAGAGTGGCTGCCACAGTTCCTTCTGCTGCTGCTGCTGTTGCTGCTGCGCAGGCAACATCGTAGGCAAACCGAATGGGCCGTGGTGCTGCGCTCCCCCCAGAGGCATCTCCCACGGACACAAGGGAGACGAGAGGCTGCTGCAGCAGCAGACGATGGAAGAAGCCTTCCCGCAAGAGGAGCTCAGCAACAGGAACAACCCTGCCTTGAGCTGCTGCCGCTGCTGCTGCTGCTGCTGCTCCCCCTCCTCCTTCGCCGGGCCCTTCTCCATACACGAAGCCGCTCCACGGCAGGCAGCAGCCGCTCGTCAGCAGCTGAGACAAAAAAAGGCATTTGACGCCAATGGCGCGGCAGCGCTTCGAGTCGTCGAAGTTGCCCTGAGCTGCTGCTGCTGCTGCAGCGGTGGCGTCTCCCCCCATGTGCAACAAGAAAGACAAAGGCGCTTCAGACCCAGAAGATGCAGCGGCAGCTGCTGCTGCTGCCACTCTGCTGCCGCTGCTGCAGTCAGGCCAGTTGTACAGGTGTAGAGCAGATACCTCCGCAGCGCACTGCTGCAGCAGCGAAGCCAGTGCTGCTGAGACTGCAGCAGACACTTGCTTCTGGGCTGCTTCCCAGGCAGCAAACGGCACTTGAGGACGTGCCGCTGCTACCGCTGCTACTGATGAAGTTGTGGAGCCTGATGGAGAAAGCGAAGTGGGGGCCACGAGACTTGCTGGTTTCTGCGGTGCTGCCCCAGTTGCTTGCTGCTGCTGATCCAGTTGCGCTCCTTCAGCACTAAATGACTTGTGCCGCTGCAGCAGCAGCGCTGCTGCTTGCGCATGTAGCAGCAGAGCGCTGGCAGCAGACAGCAGCGCAGGACTCAAATATTGTTCCACTTGTGAAATGCTTTCCAGGTAGCTCTCTGTCACCCCAAAGGACACCCCTGTCGTCTCCGCTGCTGCGGTGCCTGCTGCTGCTGCTGCCGCCGCACGGGATGTCAGGCTTCTGCTGCGCCGGGCGCACTGCAGCACGCCGCAAAGGAGTTCTGCTAAAGTGCTGCGCCACCGCTGCCACATTATGTCATGCTTGTCTTGGCGCTGCTGCTTTTTCCTCGGTCCTCCCTGCTGCGGAATTTGCTGTTGCGGCTGCTGCTCCTGCTGCAGTGCAAAATGGGTCCAGACGCCTGAGGCTACGACGAAAAAATCAACTGCAGCGGCAGCGAGGCTAAGTAACTCCTTTGGCAGCATCCGTCTCAGATCAGGTCCTTGCTGCTCTAGCTGCAGCTGCTGCTGCTGTAGCTGCAGCTGCTGCTGCGTCTCCGAGCTAAGCAGCGCATCCTGTGAAAGAACAACTACTGCAAGGACACCATTGAGAGCATCACACAGTAAGTTCCCTGGATGCTGTTGTTGCTGCTGCTGCTGCTTGTCCATTAGGCCTCTCAAGCCAGAGAGGCACTGCAGCACATCCCTGCTAGGAATTGAAAAGGCGCCGTCGGGAATAGGCTGCTGCAGTTGGGCTGCTGCTGCGGGTGGATGCTGCAGCTGCGGCGACTGCAGCAGAGCCGCCTGGACCGTAGAAGGCAGGCACGTGACTCCTCCCGGGCCAAGCAGCAGCTCCAGGGAAACCGAAGTAGCCTGCTGCTGCTGCTGCGAAGCTGTGGCGCTGTTGCTGGTATCCGCTGAGTTGCTGCTGCTGCTGCTACTGCTTGACAGGGGCAGTTTCTTACTGGCGCGAATGTCTGTACACCAACTAGCGCACAGTAGCTGCTCTGCAGCAAAGGCAGCAGCCTCGTAGAAGCCGCGCCGCTGCAGCAAGTCCTGCCGCTGCCTGGGCACTGCAGCAAGCAGAGACAGCAGAGGCAGCAGCAGCGGAGCAAAAGGGGGCCTCTCAGGGCCAGGGTGCCCCTTAACGTCTCCACTGCCACTGCTGCTGCTGCTGCTGCTGCAGGTTTTGGGGATGTACAGAGGATAAACTGCCACGTCTCTGCATGCAAGAAACAGCTTCGTGAGCCCTTGCAGCAGCAGCTGCTGCGCCTCAGCTAACGATGCGCCAACTGAGGCCCTGGGGGCTACACCTGACAACAGCCAGGGTCTGCAGACCCACTGCTGCAGCAGTACTTGCTGCAACTGCTGCTGCTGCTGCTGCTGCTCCACGGCCAGGCACATCTCGCCCAGACGCATTCCTAGTAGCCGCTGCTGCTGCAAGCTGCAGTGCAGCGACAGGAACAGCAACTGCCTCCCCTCCAAACCAAAAGATACGCCGTACTGGCCCCTCCCTGCAAGACACACGCAGGCTCTTTCTAATTCTTGCGGCAGCAGCGCGCTGCCTTCTGCTTCTGAGCCCCGCTGTTCCCTCATGTTAGACGTTACAACCGGTCGGATGCCGCTGCTGCTGCTGCTGCTGCTGCTGCTGCCAGATGCGCCGGCGCTAAATGCACCAGCAACGGAGCCTGCAGCAGGCAGCTGCAGCTCGACGAACTCCTCAGGAGCAGTCTGCAGCAGCCTCTGCCAGCACTCCGTTGCGCTTTGCAGAGGCACTACTCCAGGGTTAAGCTGCTGCAGCTGCTGCTGTTGCAGCTGCTCCTGGTGTTGCTGTTGCTGCAGCTCCTGTTGCTGCTGCAGCGGCTGTAGGGGCAGCAGCGCCTCGAAAAGCCCTCTGTCGCAGGATAGAAATTCCAGGCAGACAAAAAATTGTTCGTACTCAGCCGCATCCGCGTAGCTGCTGCTGCTGCGGCTGCCAGCGCTGCCGCCTTTGTCGCTGCTGCTGCTTCTCCTAATAGCAGCAGGCAGAAAACGCAGCTGCGATCGCGCAATGCTGCAGAGTGACTGCATCGCACCGCATATTTCAACAGCAGCAAGCAGCGGGGCGCATGCATCGTCGTCCTCTGCGTCCTCGTGCTGTAGCTCTTCCGCACTGCTGCTGATGCTGCTGCGGCTGCTGTTGCTGCTCGGACTGCTGCCGTCGCAGCGCGCATACAGCGGCAAGTCAACTGCAGCGGCAGAGAGTAGCCTGCTGGCGCATGCAGCTGCGGCACCCAGTGGCTGCATGCGCCGCAGAGGCAAAGCACCTTGTTGCTGCTGGTGCTGTTGCTGCTGCTGCGCAAGCTCCTGGGGCCAGAGACCACTGCCGTTGTAATTCACCTGCTGCTGCTGCTTGCTGCTGCTCCTCAGCTGCTCCACTGCAGCGGCAAGCCACGAGCGGCCTCTGCCCCAACATATTTGCTGCCACTGCTGCAAAAGCAATTGGCCTATCTGCAGCAGCAAAACCCAGCCACCGGGGCCGCGAGGTGAATCCGCTGCTGTGGTTGCTGAATCTGTTGCTGCTGTGCTGTTGCTGTTGTTGCTGCTGCGCAAAGGGTCGAGCCCCGTATCGCTGCTCTGCTGCCTCAGTTGCTCCAGGGCTGCACGGGGTCTGTAAATGCAAGCTATTTGCTGCAGAAGCAGAAGTGCCAGACGCAGGACCTTCAGCTGGCCCAAAACAAGGCCTTGCTGCTGCTGCTCTCGGTGCTGATTCTTCTGCTGCTGCAGCACGTCTAGCAGCACCTGCTGTGAGAAGTGAACGGTTGCAGCAAACGCAGATTCCTCACCAGTCAACAAAAGCTGCTGCTGGCTGTCTAAAGCCAGCAGAACCAGCTGCAGGAGCAGCAACCTATATTCCAGCAGTTGCTGCTCCTTCGCATACAAGTGCCGCAGCAGCCGAGCCACAAGTTTGTTGGTGTACAGGCGTCGAATCCATCGCCTGTCGCTGCTGCTGCTGCTGCTGCTCGTGTCCCCTGCTTCAGACTGCTGCTGCTTTTGTTTGTCTTGCAGCAGCAGCTGCAGGTCATCCGGCTCGAATGACAAAGCAGCAGCAAGACACAAGACTGTGCTGCTGCTGCTGCTTGAGCAGCTGCTTTCCCACGGCTTTAGCTGTGGCATATCTTTCTGCGCCCCTGGGTAACCAGAGCCTTGAAGAAGCGCATGAAGCTGCTTCTGTTGCTGCTGGCGCTGCTGCTGCAGCAGCGTTTGCTGCTGCTTCCACAGTAGACACAACAGCGTGAGCACAGAGACGGCGGCTACTTTAACCCGTGAGTCTATGAAGGCAAAGACAGACTGCGCAAACGTTGCAGCAGACTGCAGCCGATCCGCAGGCCCCCAAAGGTCACTGCCGTTGCTGTTGCTGCTGCTCAAGATGCAGTCCGATGAGTTGACGCCGCTGTATGCAAAAAGTGAGAAAAAGTGCTGCTGCTGCTGCGATGCCAGAAGGTCCCCTTGGTGCCCTGGGAGGCCATCACCTGCGGAGGGTGACAACAGACCGCCAGGCTGTTGCTGCTGCTGCTGCTGCTGCAACGAAAGTCGCAGCAGCTCGGCAGCGAGGCGTTGCAGGAGTAAAGCGGAACTGGGGCTGCATGCAGCCAGCAGCATGTGGTGCAGGGCCTCAAACGCCCCAAGGACGACACACTGCGACTTTTCCCTGCAAGGGGCCACTGCTGCAGCAGCGGAGGTGGCTGCTGCTGCCGCTGCAGCTGCTGCGCCTCCTGCTGCAGCAGCGGCTGCAGTGAAAGGTAGTTGCTGCTGCAGCAGCGAACAGCTCCATTGTCCTGACCAGCGGCCTGCCGCAGTGTACGGATCTAGGAAGACAGCATCGGGAAGCAGGGAAGCAGGAAACTCACAATAAACCTGCTGCTGCTGCTGCTGATGGCCCTGCAACAGCCGCGGCTGCTTCGAGAAGAATCCTGGAGGTTCCGGGAAGGAGCACAACTCTGGCAGCTGCTGCAGCGGCGGAGTAGCCAGCAGCGCAGCAGCAGCAGCAGACAGACGCGCAGTAGCTGCAAACGAGATGATGTCCATAGACCCGTAGAAGCGAAGGACCGGGCAAGAGAAGCTCACTAAAGCATGTGCTCCACCACTGTTATCGCTGTTGCTGCTGCTGCTGCTGCTGCTGCTGCTGCGACTGCTCGCGTTGCTGTCCCACGGGACCCCCGACTGGACAGATCCCGCACTTGTCTTGGCAACAATGTTGCAACGAAGAATAGCAGCGATCCCCTCTGGAAGATTTGCTGCAGCAAGGGACGTCAACAACGCCTCCATCAACTGCAGCAGATAGACAGAAGCAGGGGGACCAGCAGAAGCAACAGAGGCTCTTGGCGGGGAAGAACAACGGACACTTGTCAACAGCATCCACAGCAACAGCAGCAGCAGCAGCAGCAGCAGCAGCACTAAGTCCCACCTCTAGCTGCCGGTGAGAGCCTCTCACGGCAGCAGCGCGGACAGAAACTGTGTCACTCCAACTTCTGGTGGATGCAGCGTCGCCTTTCAGGTGTACAGACAACTCGTCGTTGCCTGTGGCAGCCGCCAGAAGTTTCTGGCTTTGGAGTTTCTGTGCATTTTCTGTTGCTGCTTCCGAGGGAGGCTGGGCCCCCCAGTGCAGCAGCGGCAGCAGCTGCAGCACCACCAGCAGCACAAGCTGCGCGATGTCGCAGCGCTCCTCCGAATGCAAAAAGCCCCAAGAACCCATGCGGGCGAAGACGCTGCAAAGGGCAAAGTTGCAAATGCCAGCGAAGTCCCGGACCTGCTGCTGCGCTGCTGCTTCCAGCTGCTCGTCGGTTGCGTCCTGCTGTTGCTGCTGCAGCTGTGGCAGCAGATACACGTGAGCAAGGGAAGCATCAACTCTTGCAGCAGCAGATGCGGCGCTCTCCGAAACGTAGCCGCACTCTGCAGGGGCGCTCTTGCTGCAGCGTCGGCGCTTGCTGTGCTGCAGCTGCTCGAGTCCCTCTGCTGCTGCTGTTGCTGCCAGCAAGCCCTGCTGCTGCCAAGGGATTGTCCACGCAGCAGGAGGCACTGAAAGAAGCAACTGCAGAGCGAACAAGAGAGTGCTCCGCAGTATTATATAAGTGCGCAGCTGGCGTTCCTCTTGTGCCGCAGCAACAAGGGCCTCAAGGAGCTGCTGCAGCGGCAGGAAGCAGCGGCGCTGGCCCTGCTGCGGCTGCGGTGGGGCGCAGCAAAGCCGCAGCAGCTGCCACCCAGAATGCAGTAACTCTGGGGCCAGCAGCAGTTCGTGGTGTTGCAGGGGCAGCTCCACCAAGCACTTGCAAGGCACCCGCTGCTGCTGCTGCTGCAGGAAGAGCAGGCACCGGTCAACGTCAACAACATAGCAAGGCAGCAGACACGACCTGCAGCAAGGCGCGCAAGCTCAGGGAAAAGGCGCTCTGGCAACTCTAACAGCAGCGGCAGCAGCGACGCTAACAGCAGCAGCACTGATTGCATAAGCAAAGCATGGCAACTCACCGCAGTGCACTAAGGGCTTCGGGGAGCAGCAGCCGCAGCTGGCTGCGGGTGGCAGCAAGGCATGTCAGTGCGTAGAGCCGCGGCAGCAGCAGGAAAGGCGCAGGTTCTGTTGCGTCGTTGCTTGATGTGTCACCCATTGCAGCAGCAGCTCGAGCTGCTGCTGCTGCTGCACCCTCTAGAGAGTATCCATACACCTCATTCGCTATAAACGCTTCTGCTGCTGCCCGAGCAGCAGCAGGCCAAGCAGCCACGCGAGCCCACAGCGCGCAGGCCGCAACAAACGCCCTGCAGCAGCAGCAAAAGTAATGGTAGAAGCAGTCAAGCAGTCAGAAGCAAGCAGCCGGCACAGCAAGTTGTCGTATTCCCACCTTCTGTGCCCTTTACTCTTTATTCTCTGCCTTTGCGCCACTCACTTAAAAGCTGAGGGAGGCAAGGCCCCGCATGCATCGCTGGCCTGGTGCTGCAGCCCCAAATCCATCAGCAGCCACGCAGCCTTTAGCAGCGAAAAGCGCCGCCTGGTGCTGGTGCCTTTGCTGCTCGGCGCCAGCGCCCAATGAATTGCAAAGGTGCTGCTGTTGCTGCTGCTGTTGTCGGTGCAAACTGGGTAGCGCAGGCTGACTGGCTCAAGCCGGCACCCGTCAATCTGCAGGCACCAGAAGCCCCGCTGCAGCTGCTGCTGCAGCTGCTGCTGCGGCTGCTGCTGCTGCTGCTGCTGCTGCGACCGAGCGGTAGGCGTTGTGAACGGGTCATCCTGCACCTTGAAGCTCTCTTCTTCGTATTGCTGTTGCCTCTGTTGCTGCAGCAGCTGCTGCAAAGCTGCCTCATTCGCTGCTGCTACTTGAAGGAACCGCCAAAGCGGCAGCTGCACTGCTTTGCCGGAGCTCCCTGAAGGTACGAACGACCAGTGCATGACTCCTCCGTTAGCTGCAGAAGCATCAAATCCCCCTTGCGGCTGCTGCTGGCTCTGCTGCGAATCCAACTGCAGCAGCAGTGCCATGCAAGGCTCAATAGGAATCGGGGCTGCTGCAACATACGCCGTTCCTGTGTCAACCGTGAGGCTGTCGTTACACTCAAGCTGCTGCTGCTTCTGCTGCTGCTGCTGCTGCTGTTCACTTGTGCCGGAAGTAAAGACCAAGCCGTCGATGGGCGGCAGCAGCAAAGAGGTCAGCGGCTGCGCCAGCAGCTGTAAGTACTGCAGCGCGGGCCCAACGTCGACTATGTCAGAGTCTGCTTCTTCCCCTTGCTGCTGCTGCTGCGGCTGCGGCTGCGGAAGAATGGCTGTGAGGAGCTGTAGGGTGAGGTGTGAGCCGTAAGGGAACAGGGAAACGTATGCCTGAAGCAACCGCAGGATGCCGCTGCTGCAGCCTCGGCCTTGCTGCTGCTGCTGCTCTACCAGCCCCTCTTGCTGCAGCAGGCTGAAGAGGCGCTGCCGCTGCTTCGGCAGCAGTGCCAACAGCTCGCATGCTGCGTGTACAAACAGCTCGTGCCCCTGCAGTTCTTTCAGGGGGAAGACGGTGAGACAAGCATCGAGAAGCAGCAGCAACTGTGTAGCGAAGTCCTGCTGCAGCGGGTCCTGCTGCTGCTGCCTCTGCTGCTGCAGCAGCTCATGCTGCAGCAACTGCTGCTGCAAAGCATGCGGCAACAGAGGCATCACAAGCTCCGCTGCTTGCCCTACAAACAGGTCGATCTCTTCATCCGTGAGGCTGCTGCTGCTGCTGCTGCTGCTGTCGCTGCTGCTGCGCAGCTTCTTGTACCCTGCCAGGCAAGCAGCGTGGGCAGCCAGCAGCAGCGGCGCTGCTGTGGGGTGGTCAATGTAGCAGCTGTAGAGCAAGTCTGAATAAACCTCTCCGCCCTGGGAAACTGCTGCAGATCCCGCGGCCCCGCTGCGCTGCAGCTGCTGCTGCAGCTCCTCCCGGAGGCCCTGCAGGCAGCTGCTCATCACATCGCGGTGCAGCGCAGCAAAGCGGGGCCCCTCCACAAAGCTGCGGACCGCTTCGCCGCTGCTGCTGCTGCTGCTGCAGAAAATGTCAACTATCTGCTGCAGCGGCATGCCACATAAGGCAGCAACAGCGCAAGAACCTCCCAGCTGCTGCGCCTGCCGCAGCAGCCTGCGGCTCTGCAGCAGAGACCGCCGCTCGCTGCTGCGGGCAGCTAGGGCCCCACAAAGTCGATCTTCATACACTAGGGAGCAGTACTTATATAGGCTCTCACTGGAACAGCTGAGGCTGTTGCTGCTGCTGCTGCTGCTGATGCCTAGGGCTCGAGCCGCACGGCAAGCGGACGCGAGGCACAGCACCACAGCTTCCTGAAGCTGCAGCGTCTCCCTTAGCTGCAGCAACTCGTGGACTTCGAAGGCCACAGCGTCGTCAGCTCGTTTGCTGCTGTCTTTGCTGCTGCTTCCCGTGGCCTGCTGCGGCTGCTGCCTGAAACGGCAGGTGGAGGGGTCCGGCTGCTCGTTGAGCTGCGTGTACAGCTGCAGCAGCTTCGCCTCCAGCTGATGCTGCTGCAGCAATATGATGGCAAAGCCTCTGCAGACCTGCTGCAGCGACGCTCCCTTTTGGTTCCCACTGCTACTGCTGCTGCTGCTGCTGTTGCTGCTGCTGCTGCTGCCAGCAGCTTGCATGAAGATGAAGTTGATGCACCAAAACATGCACAGCTGCTCGTCCTGCAGAACATCGCGGAGCTCCCTGAGAACTTGGGGGTTCCGGGGATTGACAGTTTCTCTTAGCTGCGAGGCCTCAAAGGCCGGCAGCAGCAGCTGTTGCTGCCCGCTGTGGTGCCGCAGCACGTACGCCGACAGGAGCTCATACAACACTGCTTCAGAAGGCACCGAGCAGCACGAGCATGAAGCGCTGCTGCTGCTGCCGCTGCTGCTGCTGCTGCTGCTACTACAGCTGCTGCTGCTGCTGCTGCTACTACCGCTGCTGCTGCTTCCACTGCTGCCTTGGGACGGCGTCGCTCCTCCAGAACCAGGTGCGCGAACCGCCTCAGCCCATTGCTGCTGCAGGTGTTGTATGGCGTTGCACGTAGCAGCAGAAACGGACGGGGGTAAGGCTCTGTCTACAGTGGACAGGAACGAAGACCGCAGCGCGACGATGCGTTGCTGCAGCGCTGGCTGCTGCAGCAGCTGCTGCAGCAGCGCAGGACTAGTGGAGGTCGACAGCAGCAGCTCCTTTAAGTGCCGGAAAGAGGCGAGACACTTTCGCACTTCAGCAGAGACCTCGAAATCACTAGGGGGCCCCGACGCCGCCACAGCGGGGGCCCCGAGGCCCCCCGAGAAGCCTGCAGCTGCAGGCTCCTGAGGCTGCTTTCCACTCATTGGCTTTTCCTTAGCTGCATGTTGCTGCTAGGAGGAGTCCAAGCTGCAGCCGAGCAGCAGCAGCAGCAGCAATGACGATGATGGCTGAGTGAAGGCCCCCAGTGCTGCTCCGCAGCAGGCGCCAAGCCTGAGCCCCTGAGCCCCGGCCGGCCCCACAGCTATGTCCAGCTTAGTGGCTTGATTTTGGGGTGGCTGGGAGCTGCTTGGGTGGGCGCCGCAGACACGAGCGTCGATGCTGCTGTTGCTGCTGAGTTCCCCGTGTCGCCGCTGCAGTTGCTGCTGCAGCCTCCCTTTCACTGAAATTTTTCAGCCAAGCAACCCGAAAAATATTCTTATCTATCATAATAAGCTCCAATCTTTCCACATATCAGTCCCTCCCCGCATGCAGGGGCTGGTGTTCACACAGCCCCAGACATTGCATGTTTGCTCGCGCTGTGCCTCTGCCACCTTCTGAAGGGCAATCTGAGCCTTACCACATTCTTAGCTGACCCAAGCCCGAGCCTGAATACCAAGTCATTTTAGTAGTCTGCAGGGAGAAAACACACAGGGGCCCCCACCAGTTGTGGGAGCCAAGGGCGCCAAGCGGTTCCCGAAGCCTTTTTAGTAGTTCCAGCGTGCCTTCTTGTTCACAATTTAGGGTAACACACAACATTTCGGGTCTAGAGCTCGAAACTTAGAAGTCGTGCAGGGTGCTGCTAGCACTACTATTGGCTGTCAACTGGCTTAAACAGCGGGATTCAACGACAGGGACGGCAAAGAAAGCAGCTGTAGTGGTCAACCCCTACAGCAAGTGAGCTTTTCGGAGCATTAACACTATAGAGTTGAACTTGTTCGCACTTAACATTTAATTGTGCCACCCATGGTCCTGCTATGCAGGGCCCATGGGTGGCTGGAAATGGCCACTAAGGAAAGCTTGGCTTTCCTCAGCGGCTGTGTAACTTTTTCGTGCGTATCGAGTGGACAGTTCCGAGACTGTTTGTAGTTGCTATTTGCGTCAATGTGTAGGTCGATGCTATGGTTGGCCGCTTGCAGTGCCCAGTGGAGTTTGGGTTCCCGCCCTTCACCTTGTAAATTATAGCCACGGCGGAAATGACAGAACAAAATCTGGAGCGCTCTTCTCCCAGTAGATCTCATAACGCGAGGATACTGAACTGGAATCCCGGATTAGGCGCTGATGGCGCAACTTCAGATGAGCTGCCTCCACTTGAGGCAGCAGGACAGATATAAAACGAAGATATTTCTCAATGGTAACAGCGCATGGCGAGGCCTCTAAGCACGAATTCATCTGTCAAACGCGTTATAAGAGCGTTTGGCAAGAGCGCACATTCACGGCCTAGACAAATTCGCATCCGAACTTCCCGTCTGTGTGTAGAGTCTTTACTGATCTCCTGCTAAAAGCTCATACTAAATAATTCCCCCGACTGTCATACTAGAGCAGCCTCCAGGGTGCCTCAGCTTGAACGCAGGCTCCCTCGAGAGGGCACGCATGAGCTGATGCTGAGACTTGTAATTAGCGAGCTGGCCCCGATGAATCCTGAAAAGAAGCTTCACTGAGGTCTCACACTCAACACGTTTTCACTCGCCGATGGAAATTCCCTACGAATTTTTTTTGCGAATGTTGCTGGTGTAGCAACACATGCGTACTGGATTCGTCTTCTGATCTCGAATGTATACGCTGCGCAGCGTTGATTCTGCTATTCAGCCAACCGAGCGGCCTTAGATCTGCGCATCGGAAACCAGAAAGTGTTGTTGCTCTCCGCAGAGCCACTTGATCCTAATGAGCTAATCAAGTGATGTGAACGAGCATTACTGTGTGCTGGCTTACACGTCACCAGAGATACATAAGATACCTAGTAGAGCTCGTTCCTGGTAGTTGCGACTACAGGCTAAAAGTCCGTGACGGCAATCCAGCTGCTAGATGATGAAAGCCATTACAGCCGCGCCTTTTGAAGGGTTTTGCGTCGTCTTTATGGTTCTATTGTTCCCAGAGGAGTCAAAGGTGTAGGACTTCGCATCACTGCCGTTTGGTTCAGTGGCGGGCTGTGGCACTACTGTGAAATACAAGTGGCCGAGGGGACACGGGGGATGATTCCCTTCGATTAAAAAGGCTAGACAGGAAACAGTCCATGCCACGGCAAATGGCCGTTGCATAGACCATTTTCGGCCTAGTCTTTTTATACAAAGAGTTCATATCCTGCCGGCGACCCTGGTTTCACTCAATACATGGCAGCGCAGGGCCTCGCCGCAACGTCTGCTTCCGGTTCTGCGTCTTCGCTTTCTCTGTGCTTGTGAGTTGTCTCCGGTTATCTCCTATTTGTTATGTGCCTACCTCTGGATTTGCTTTTGTGTCTACGTATGTCCTAGGATGTCATAGGATCTGGCCTCCACAACCACTAATTCGCACTAAACCTTGTGAGCAACTCTTCAGGTGAAGGTCTAATACCAAAGTAAAATTCGTCCATCAATCAAGCGGCACTGAAAATTGAAAGGCAGCACGGCCGTATGCGCCTCTTCAACAAACACGGGCCTCCTCTGGATCCTTGAAGGCCTACAAAGAGCACCTGAGGGTTCCCATGATACCCCGAATACTCCCAAGAAGCCCATTGGGGGCTTCGGACAACACCCCTACAGACTCTAGGGAGCCCCTTGGGGCGGCGGACCCCCTGGGAAGAAAACTAGGTCCCTCGCGTCCCCTAACGTCTCGCCGTTTTGCTATACTGGAGACGCAGTGCCTCAGGCTCACCATGCGCCGGCAGTGCGTCGTCTCAAACCGTGCCTGCGCTTGGTGGCTATCTGAAGAAAGAAGATAGGAGGGGCCTGCTGCAGCAGCTGGTCCTATACGTGCGCACCTGCACCAAAAAGCGTGCATGTAGGAGGGTGCAGCAGCGTGAGAGCTTGAAGCCAAGCAAACAAGACCAGGCTGGAGGGACGCCAATCAAACAAAGACATAAAACCCAAAATGGTGATAAGCGTCTCCTTCTTTTTCGCCCTCTGAGAGGAAACCAGTTGCTGCACTGTTTAAGTACTTTCCTAATTAAAGTGCCGCATGTCCAATTCATTAGCAAGAAAACTAAGCCCAGCTGATAACCCCAGGTGAGGGCCCCACGCCTCCCTATATCAGGGTCCCTGGGGGCCTCCGAAGAGTCCACGGAAAGCAGAAGCCTCAAAGCCTGATCCGCAGGCCCGAGAGGCGTCGGAATCCCATAGATATTGCACTAGCCCCCAATGACGATAACTCTCGCCACTTCTCCCAGCAATGCGTCAACTGGCAGCACTTCTGTGCCACTGGCACTTTAGAGCACTTTTGAGCCCTTTGGATGCATTCGCCCGTCTTCTTATCTCAAACCGCCTGTCTCTTCCGTTTGCGTCTCACACGTTTTCCGTCATATTGCCCTCTCTCTTGTCCTTCGGTTTGTCTCTTGCTGTCTGCCCTCGAGGCGGCGGCATCCTTGGCCTGCCAGCTGCGCTTCACGTCTGCTGTGACAGATTCAAATTCTATCCCACAACAGGGTTGAAGGTTGTCCATTCCTCATCTCTGTCCAGCTCTTCCTTGCTCGTACAAGTGCTGTGTCTACAACAGCGCAGGCAGCAGCAGTTGCTCTGGCTTCACCTCTTCCCCAGTAGATGCATAGTGTCCAGTCAATTCTTTCGATGCCCTCAAAGGCACAAAGCCGACTAACCTCTCTGTGCCTGTGGCTGTCTGCACTCTCTCAAGCTGCTGTGTCTAGTTGGCTTTCAGCGTCGTCTTCCACTGCTTCCCCAGCCTCTGGCGCCGCTTCAGCCTCCGTTGTTTCTTCCAGCTGCAGTGTCTGCTCAGCGTGGAGCCCAGCATCAGGCTGCATTTGCAATTCAGGCTCCAATGCCTCCGCATCCTCTTGCGTCTCCGCAGTTCCTTTCTTTTGTTGGTCTTTGTGCACTGTTTGTGTATCTGCTGCTGGCTGTTCTGCGTCCATGTCCCTTGCTGCAGCAGCTCCTTGTGAGTCTATGCCTCGCACGTGCTCGTAGACAGCCATGAAAAGCTCGTTGGCGTTGTGCCTGGCCTTGGCCGCAAATTCCGCCACCTCAGCAATATCTCGGGCCTTTTGCACAGCCTTTAGGGCCCGAGTGCATCCTAAGGTAGCGAGCTGAATCCGCTCCGCCTGCGGCGTCCCCTGCAGCAACGCTTCAGGGGGGGTCTGCGCCACCACCGAAACAGCCTCCTGCAGATCGGATTCCAACAGGCTGAGCAGCGTGAGCTCATACTCCAGCTGAGACGCCTCGTACACCGCCCCCTCCATCTCGACAGCCAACTCCACTGTTTCCTCTGCTGCAGCCTTGGCCCTCACTAGTTCCTCCGTCGGCGTCCCGCGGCCCAGCAGGCTGTGCTGCTCGGTGCGCTGCACATAACGCCTCATGCTGCCACTCAGGCGCTTGATCAAGGCATTCAGCGACAGAGCGTCTTTGTACACAGTCTCGACCACGGCGCGGGGGACCTGGTGCTCCCACTTGCCCTCAGGTGAGCTGAAGGTGGGGAAGTTCTCAGTTAGCGTGCTGTGCAAAGAGCTGATGCGTTCATTTGCGGCCTGCTGGTCTACGGAAAAAGCTTCTGCAGAGTCCAGCGCCACGCTTAGGGTCATTGTCTGGAGCGAGTGGTCACCGAAGGGAAACATGTACTTCAGTGGGGGCAGTTGCTCTATGTGCCTCCAGATCCTACTGATCGTCTTGTCGAGCTTCTTCTCCAGGTGCTGCGCATCGGCATTGCTCTTGCGGAGCTTGCCAGGAGAGTCGCTCTCTTGGACTGCTTCGTAGAGCTCGGCGTGGGCGGCCAGCCCGTTCTGGACCGCCTCTATGTCTTTCGCAATGGAGTCCAGCTTGTCCTTCCCCTCCTCAGTCGGCCGATTGGGCCAGGCCTGGAACACCGCCCGCAGAATATCCACAGCCATCTGCAGCTCCACGTTCATCCAGCGGTGCCTCTCGCTGCGGCTGGTCACGTAGAACGCCGTCGCAGTGTCCACTGCGTC